CATTTGCCTACAGATGGCACACAGGGATCATGGGATGGATAACACCTTTTGCAGCTCTGTTTTTTCTATTGCCTGGCATTCTTTCAACACTCATGTTAATGGAGGGTTGGTACTGATAGTGACTCACATTGGACATGTGTGTTTCTTGCCTGTAAGAAGGGGGATGCACAGGCAGTACAGGTAAAAGGTTACTGGTCTCATATATAACTAAACTGTGTGACTCTCTTCTGAGCTGACACAAGAAAAGTTTCATAGACAAGCCTAGTAGCAGCACTGATTTCACATGCTTTTCTCCAAATTACATTTTTAAGTGAACGTGGGCTTGTTCTATTGTATTCATAAAATGCATGTACCAGTAATTAAGGTTATGATGAGCATTTTGTAAACTAATGCTAAAGTTGCAGGCTCCTGGATGTTGGTTTTAGAAAGAGGGACTTGACTGAACAGTAGGTTCAGCAAGATTGGCAGTCTGGGAACATATCTAACAGAAAAAAATGTCTGCAGTATAACTACTTTAACAAGCAGAAGGACTGCAGACTTGGGAGTTAAACTGTGGCTACACAACCATGCTTTCCAAAATAAGCTTTCTTCTCCTGTAATTTTGGCTTCGTGTACAGTGTAATGATGTTAATGCATGTAGCTTTAGTATTTTGAATGTTTAACAAAGACCTTGTGATAATCAATAAAACATGGCATCAAGCTATTAAGTTAATGTGAGTGACAGAAAATTTAGGAGTGAGATTTGTCAGGATTTTTCCTGATTTCAGGATTTGTTCATCAGAATTTTTTTAACAGTTTCCTTCATGATCTGGAAAAGGGGTTGCTATGTACATGTGTAACAGTTTATGTAGAACTCATTTGAAAGGATGCCTTGAGGCAGATGTAAATGTACAGTCTATGTTGCTGTGAGGCCCTCAAAACCTCTGTTGATTGATTTGTGGATATTTCATTTTACTCCTATCTCACCCGTGAAAAATGTATCGTTTTACTGGAGGAAAAGAGCTTTTCAGAAAAAGGAAGTGTTTGCACTAGTGTATAGTTTACTTGGCTTGATAACACTTTCGACTAGTCCAAGTACAAACTATCCATTTCCTATCTATAAAAACTCCCTTGGGAATTCCATTGGGAATTCCACATGGGGTGGTATGAGCTTTACGGCTCAGTTTTTTCCTCCAGACTTTTTCCATCACATTGATGACCCTTGTGACACAAGTCTGGCCATTTAACGGATGACTGTTGTTATTATTATTGTCTCTTGGCATTTTGAGAAAATCACCGTGTTGTCAAGACATTCTTGTTATTGTTATAATTGAGATGCTGCACACAGAGTTTAAATAGTAATTACCAAAGTGTAGTTAAAGGATAGATGAAACATGCAATAAGCCTCAATAATATGTGGAAGGCATGTTGGTGTAAGAAGTCTGACAATTATCTGGAATAGAAATTATTGGATTAGAGAGGAGACTATATATCGAATACATATTCGTCAGTATCTGTACTGAGCTTTATATTTGTTCTGAGTAATGCTCAAGTTAAGCTTTTCAGAGTATCTGTCCAGATCCACATTCATCAGGTTGTGACCAGTGAGTGGCAGTGTTAACAAGGCAAATCAGTATTCCATTCCAGAGGTGATTGGGATTTGTCAGGAGCTGGAAGCATGTTGGTAGGTCAGAAACAGCCATCCTGATGGTGGCTTGACTGAGGGAGTTGGATAGGGATGGAGATGGGGTGACATGCCCCCTTCCAGCCTTTGTCCTGCCTTTGCCCCCCCAACAAAAAAAATTGGAGAAGACAAAAAGGCCATTGTATTATTGAAATCTATGACCAATGCATAGAGTTTTCTCATCAGGAAATGACAACCCCCCCCCACACACACTTTATCCCCTGCTTCAGTAGCGTAGGGGGAGGCAAGGGGAGAGGGCACATGTTCCTCTCCAGCAGATATTATTTTGCTTGCTGAGAGGTCTCATTCTCTATTTGACATATCAAAATATACACAACTGTACATGTAAAAACCATGGCTCATCAGCGTTCGATGCCCCCTAGAAATTTTACTATTTGTCCATGGTAACAACACTTACAACTGCCCCACTTCCCTATAGACCACTGTTTGCACCCTGTTGTCATTTAAAACCGTACTTTTGGTTTCTACATTTTTTGTTCTTCAAGTCAATTAACGCTGACAACATCCCAGTAAAAAAAAACCTTCAGGCATTTTATTGAACATTGATCTGAGCCTGGCCACAGTACCCTATGCAACAGGTTAAAAAACAACAACTCTAGTAAGTGTAAACTGACCCATGACAAGCCAGCAAGATCTTACTGTGTCACCCCCACCAACCCACCCTTGAGCAACCCTCTTGTAAGAGACCAGTGCTGACAGACTGATGCAAACAGTGATGTGTGGTTCCTCTTGTTCCATGCCACCAGAATTGATTTGCATTTCCCAGGGGGCAAAATGAATTATGGGACAAGAAAAAATCTCTTCAAATACCATTGTTCGTCCAACAAAATGAACCATATTTCATATATATATTTTGTGTCGTTAGTTAACTTTTTTTTGTTCACAATGTTCTGTTTACAGTACTGACAAATATTTGCTTTGGTGAGAGGGTAACCCTTCCCCCTTTTTGGGGGGGAGGGTAAACTTTTTGAGGGTTGAAGCTTTTTCGGGGACGGGTGTAGAATTGAGTTTTGGGTTGGGAATAATAAAAATGGTATGTTACAAACAGGTGAGTTACATTGAAAAAGAGAACACTTTGCCTTCTATCTTTAAACCAGGAAATATGCGCTGTACATGTACTTGTATGAGCTGCTACTTAACTCAAGCAGTTGTACATGTACATGTATATGCAGCAGTACCCATGACTAGAATATGCAGGAATCCTTCCACTGTTCAAACACGAACTAGCTGAACTGCTTTTTAAGGATTAACGTAATACCAATGCAGCTGGAACAGGCATGCTCGAGGTCAGGTCAAAAATCATCCAAAAAACTTCCCATTAAAGAGAATTCTATTGAACATTTCAAAGTAATGTACACACAGACAGCTGGGGTCAGTTACCTGTTGACCCAGCTATCATTGACTGGCTAACTGAAGGAAATTTGTTTTTTTGATTATCATTACTGATCTTTTTCAGTTGTGTGGCAGTTCTCAGATTGAGTGTGAAGTGTTGTACACAAACTACTTCACACTGTTTGATTGGCCTGATATTTGACAATGGCATTAGCATGTACAGTGACAAAATATGGGATGCATGGTTGTGGGAAGGTGGGGGTCAAGGAGACATTGACCTCAGTAATGAAATAGGGACAGCACACTTTGATTAACCCAGTTTTCTTTTAAATGTTATTTTCAAGGAAGTGCTTTTTCACTGCTCATGTTTATCAATAACTGAAAAAGACTTAAACAAATTGTGTGCATTTTCTGTGACTTTCTGGTGTCTGTCATACTTAAGATTGCAATGAAGTAATCTTTGGCTGGACTTTAAGGGTGGGGCATCCATGTGTAACCCCTTCCAGGTTCAGACTATCTTAGAAATATCCCTACTGCCACTTTCCAAAGAACAACACTGGTCACCGTATTTTTTCTTTTAACTTGAACCTTGCATGTTGAAGAAATTGAGGATCAATTGAGAAATAAGATGTTATTTTCAGAGTTTGGAAAAAAGAGGAAATATTTACACAAAGAGAATGGGAGAGGGGGTTCCCACAAACTGTATGACAATTGAACCATCATTTTTCTGTCCCGAGTTTGTGTTCTAATAGGGAATACATGAATTAAAAGGCAAGTACCTCTGAGTTACTTTGAGGCTAGTCCAGTCTCCTGTATCATATGTGCCAAATGATGTGGTGTATGAGAGGGAGGTGGAGCAAAAACTATAGATTTCATTTTGAGCTTTTGACTTTAGTGTAAACTAGTACTACTGTTTAAACTGTGGCCAATTTTTCATCAATTAGTCACACCAATCCAGGATTTCCTACATATTAACAAAGGGCCATGACCTCCTTTTCACCAGGCATACATACATTTAGACTAGATAGAGCAACTTTGGAGTAGAAGTCAAACACACTGTTCAAACATACACCTGGCCGACAGGAATGCAGAGCATGGGGCCGAACCAACACCACGTCAGTTCCAGTGAATGTGGCCTTCGGATGCGGCTGATTCCACTGCCCTCTGTTGACACCGCAGATCAAGATTAGGATGTACATGTACCAGTACTTTCCTGTGTCTTGACCTCTTCTACCCTTCCAATTTTGTGACATCATCATGAGAGACCTTATTGAAGTGTTGTCATAACGAACTGAAGCAGGTTCTTTGCATGATCATGTGAATACTTAAAAGTCTCCATTATTTCCCTCATAAATTGATTTTGAAAAGTATTGAAAACTGCTGGTAACTTTGCAAACTTTTTTTTTCATTTTTGTTGACAATAATAAATACAACATTCGTTGACTAAATTATGAAAAGGAAACATTCAGATTTGTTTACAGATAAAAGAGTCAGTAGCCAATTCAGTTGATGAATTTGGACACTGAAGTTTCACCAGTTACTTTTATTGATAAGTTATATTTTCGTTCAGTTGATTAAATTGCTGCCTTTTTCCATCTCTCGTGAACTGGTTCTTGAAGTTATTCATCTTCTTAATTTCTGGTTATGATAATCCATGTCTCTGTGAAATATGGAAACTGGAGTACTGCTACACTGTACAAAACGTACATGTACATATATCCTGTCCTCAGGAAATGACTGCAAGTTTTCTGAAGCACAAACTTTATAAAACTTTGATGTTTCCAAATCTTTGATGTTCTCCCTTAGCTTTGGGCTGTTTGTTGCCACAAGGCAGCTGGTCTAGACTGAGAGACAGGCTCACTGTGGGGAAGCCACCCACAAACATACACCAGTGCAGTTGAACATGCATGCCTGCCAGCCAACGGAACCGGCCCGGACCCACAACATCATACTCTCATTGGACCGCTGTCACTGTGAACCAGCGGCCTTGATGTTACAGCAAAACACTCCCCATCACCAGATAACAGTGCCCGACAGCAGTTGGGTCATGTCTTGTGTTTGGTATGCCAGTATCACCATCCTGCGTCCATGACTTGAGAGAAAGAGCTGGGTTGAAGACAACTTCACTGAAGTGTGTTTGTACACTGGGTGTATTTCACTCCTATTTTGATTGCTGACTTGAAGCCAATGAGCAATTCCCTACTGCTGATTTTTCATGAGCATCTGCAGTATCACCGTAGTGATTTGTATGGATGGGATACCCTTTCTAGTTGACTCTGTGGTGCAAAAGAGCTCCATAAACTCTGCCTAGCATGTTTGGACTACTTCATGACTTGGACTTTGACATCGTTAGTTGAGACATCATCGTTATCATTTCTCAATTTCCACAGACCTTCTGATGTTGCTGGTCCATAACTTGTGCAGTCTTCAATCTGAGGAAGGAATGAGAGGTTTCCGAAAAGGTCCATCTTGGTCTCATAGCTGTTCACACTCTCTCTCGTGCAGAATTTTTTCTTGCATTTGCGGTCTGTGGATGTGCACATTGGCCTGCACACAAGTTGCTCGAGTATGCTTTCAGTTTCTCATCTTTTTAGGGCCATTTTAAGACTACATTGACCTCACACAGCTGACAAGGACTCTTCCTAAGTGAACTTGTGGTTTTCACTGTGAACTGCGATCACGGTCATCTCCGCCATAAATTTTCCCTACACTTTGGCCAAAGTTCAGCACTCAACACTTCTTGTTGACGCCATTTGGTTTCTGTCAGAGGACAACAGACGCATTCTTTGGGCAGCTTTGTTTTCCATGTTGGAGTGTCAACTGCCGATATTTTCACCCAAATCTAAGGTGGGCCACTTTGTGAACTCGTCTTGTGCTCATGGATTTGCTAATTTGCAGATGAGTCTCTTCACTGTATCTTCTGATCAGGAACTGTTCAACTTAAACTAGTTTAACTACAGGTAAGCTTTCCATTATGTGTACATGTATATCAGCACTAGTACATGTACCTGCATACCATGGCCTGGGCATTTTTTGACAGAAATTCTTGAATGATTCTGAAAGGATGTTTGCCTGTTTGAAAAAGGACAAAACTGACATGAAAGTATCCTGTTCAGGTTAAGAGAAATAGAATTCTGATAAATACTACCCGGCATTCTTAAAACAGGCTGGAGGTTGGAAATATGAGGAATAAAATATCCTGCCAAATATATCTAAGAAGCAGGGTAAACAGCTTTTTGCCGTTTTTATTATGTAAATCATTTGTTATGGGTAAAAACTTTGGTGTAAAAAGTGTGATATTAACATCCTGTCTGACTGATACAAATTACAATGAAGTATGAAACTAATTTTTTGGCACACATTTCCTTGACGTGCTTAACAGGAAATCATTGGCTGTTAAAAACAAAAAAAGTCATGCTGAGTTTTGCTGACAAATTCTGTACACTTCTTTAATTGTGCTATAAAGTCACTGAACTGACCTTGCACTTTCCTTAATCTAAGTCACCTTTTAGCTGTCCAAACACCTCTAAGTTTTCTTGTCCTGGCCAAAATTTAAGACAAATACATGTGAAAGGGAACAGGCAAGGACACTTGTATTGCACAATTAACTGGGCCATGTTTCTTGCCACCCTGGCCAGTCCTAATCAGTCTTGACATTCCTTCATATAGCCTGGCCCCAATGTTATGGCCAGGGTACAGGCTGCACGCTGGGAACTGCTCCGCAGGCAAACGGGAAGTTGCGGCAGTGTTATTGGTTTTCATTGGGAAGTCATTCTCCTGGTTATGCAGTCTGTGGTCTAAAATTGGTCTTTTTATGGAACAAGGCCTTGTAGATGCTGATGTAGGTGTATGAAAAATGTTTCAGTTTCATTGGAGGTACCATGTTTGATAAAGCATTCTGAAAGCATTTTGGATGTTGCTTTGTACGTTTTTCCTTGTGGGACCCAGTGACTGTTTGTAGTCTTCACTTCTCCACGGAAACACTGAGAGTAATGAGATATGTGTATAGTATTATTGCTAACTCCATCAAGCTGAGTGGGGCCAATCTGGAATACTTTAGTTGTGCATTCTTAGAAGTAGAAGACCCAAATGTTTATTTTCTATCCTTTGTGACCAAAAAGACCACCAGGTAATGTAAGTGAAAACAACTATGCGGATACTGGTTTTGATTGTAATTTAAACCATACTTCGAATGTGATTAATGATTGTCATAAAATTTTAAGCTTGGAGAATACGAAGAGCTGGGCTACATACTCATTGGACATATTAATAATAGCGACCATGTAGTTACATGTAGTTCACCCATTGAAGTTTTCCTCCTTGGTTCACCATGTATAAGAAACAAATGTCTCCATGCATTTGAATGACACTGGGGTATTTGTGAAGACCCCCTACATGCATGTTCATCCATGTACACAGCATGACTCTTTCCGCATTTTGAAATGGCTTTGAATTTCTGGAGAAAACGTTCATGTGACATCAACATTTAGGCAACTCTAGCTTGAAAGATAAAAACTGAGATATAAGCATACGTCACTGAGCATCCAGTCCACCGTCACTGTTAAACTGGTCATCCATATTATATTTGTATCCATTTACTATGTGCCCACCTCGATGCTGCATGTACCATTATAAATGTATAGTGTTTACATGAAGTAAACACTACAAAGCATTAAATTTCAGTGGTCACTTTAGGCCATGAGAGCAGATCTGAAGGTCTGGAGCACCATTACTGATAGTCAGCCAGTGTCAATTTGGATGTGTTTCAGTTCCAGGCTAAAATGTTTCACTGTGCCAAGAAATTCCTTGAGCGATAGTTGTATTGTTCTTTAATTTTCTTTTTTCTTGGGGGGGGAGACTGGAAAGTGAAGATACGCACATACATGTACATGCAGGTATACAGGGTACGAACAATGTACATGTAGTCCACAGTTTATTCCTTGACTTTTGGACCTTTTCTGAGTTGAACATTATCTAAAAATGTTTCAAACTTTGTAATTGTTTTAAAACAGGAATTATTGTATCATTTTAATTTCTTTAATTGCCTGTCAATATTTCATTATATTGCAGTATTCTTTTATTGATATTGAAATACTTTTCTGTGATTTTCCAAAAACATCAATGAGAGTGGTGAAACAGATTCAACATTTATACAAAAATAGTTTGATTTTTCCTGAAATCAGAAGATACAGTGTTTAATTGTTGGGTCACAAAAACAAACACGTTAGCTCAGCCATGCATAAATAGCCCAGACGAAATAGTATACTTTTCAAACAGTCATAAATTTCCTTTTTATTAGTTTTCTGATACCTTACCCGAGTCATTGTTGAGTGAGTATGGAAGGAAGAAGAAGGAGAGGAAAGAGAACAGGCACAAAAAAGGAAACTGTCACCAATATACTTCTCAATCGCATGGGAGGGACAAAATCCAATTACGTCTCCAGCCGGACATGTCCCCGTGTTCGGTGTGTACAGGTGGAGTGCAGTGTTTTATGGGCCGGTTCCAGGTTTCACGTTCCAATAAGCCAAATTAGAATGCACGTAAATCTGTCGCGGCCGCAATGAAAACCTGGACTTAGGTGCAGCCCAATGCAAAAATATGTCTTTATTGATACCGCAGGATTCGTTAACTTGTGTGTGCACATTCTGATGCAGGCCCTTTAGCCTAGGGTTTGGGAGCACCAGTACAGGAGGTCTTTTTCTTCGTGCATTTGAATTAGTTTCTTATATTAAATACCCCTCCCCTCCCCCCAAAAAAATTTAAATTAGATAAATTGAACAATCAGAAAGCAAAACAAAAATGCATCTTCCAACTCTGTACAGATATTGCAGTTGTTCTTCAATATCCACACAGAATGCAACATGCATTGCTATTTATTCATCAGAAGTAATGTTGAATGACTGCAGATTCTGATCTTTGTGCACTGTGGCAGTACAGTAAGCCTCATAAACAAGAATGTGTCAAAACTATACATGTATAAATGGCCCAAACTGCCAGATTCGTGTGTAAGTTTTTGTTAATTGCAACAGTGATGAACCCATCATATGACATCTAGACAATATCCAGTTTCTCTTTATGGAAAATAATTTGTGAAGTTTGGTATGTTATACTCCCATTTTATAACTGAAATTCAGGACCCTGTAATTCATTCAACCGGTTTTTAAGATATTGTCTCAAAGTTTATGCAGATTTCAAATTTTTCACTTGGTATGCAAAAAGTTTATCATCTTGCTCCTTCTCTTTCATTTGATAAGAAAAGAGGGCAAAAATGGAATTTGAAATGTGACCTAACCTCTGCAGCCTCAACGCTGATTGCTTCAGAACTTTTGCGCTCCCTCTTTCACCACTTCCTCAGGCAATTATGAAGGAGGCCGTTCTTCATCTCTCTTCAAATAGTCATTCTGCCTTCATCTTGTCTTATCTCTCTTCTCCTCTTAACCCTCCTGCTTGGCATTTTCTTTACCGTATCCCTCTTATTAAGGCAGTGACAGGACTCAAAATGAATGCTGCTTATACGTGTCTACGTGTTCTTACTGGGCCTCCACTGATGAAAAGTTAGCAAAGTTTTACAAGTCTGCATATTATATATAGATCAGGCTTTTGAGGTCTAAAATGTTATCATATTGGTTTAAAACCTCTTGTTTAAAAGTTAAGAAATGTATGTAGACCTGGGTAATTGTGCGGGTAACAAACAGAGTTATTGGAAAGGATTTTCATAATGTATCATGTTTTTCATAATTGTAGTAAGTTAGGACCTACAATCT